ATGGGAGGCGGGAGGCGGGAGGGAGAAGGAGAGGATGTTCTAGGAAAACAAGAACCCCACTCAGGATGTGGGGAACTATCCCAATAGGCCGAACCACGATTTCGTAATCCGCCGGCCCCCTTGTGGGGCCACCAGGCTGCGAGGCACGTGATTCGCAGTTTCCTGTACCAGTCGTAGGTTGTAGTTTCCAGTGTTACAGTTCTGCTTCTTGCTGGTTACTGTAACTAGTTGACTTCTTGCTGGTTACTGTAACTAGTTGATTGACCGCGCGAGGGGGGGGGAGGCCCAAACAAGACTTTTAGCCTCACCTGGGCGCGTTGTCTGAATTGCTGGGGGGGCTCGAAATCGACACCCCTCACGCAGATCCGCGGGGTCAGGGTCCAAAAACACAGGGATTTGCCACATTTCTGAAATTCGGTGCCACCCCTCACGCAGATCCGCGGGGTCAGGGTCCAAAAACACATGGGATTTGCCACATTTCTGAAATTCGGTGCCACCCCTCACGCAGATCCGCGGGGTCAGGGTCCAAAAACACATGGGATTTGCCACATTTCTGAAATTCGGTGCCACCCCTCACGCAGATCCGCGGGGTCAGGGTCCAAAAACACATGGGATTTGCCACATTTCTGAAATTCGGTGCCACCCCTCACGCAGATCCGCGGGGTCAGGGTCCAAAAACACATGGGATTTGCCACATTTCTGAAATTCGGTGCCACCCCTCACGCAGATCCGCGGGGTCAGGGTCCAAAAACACAGGGGATTTGCCACATTTCTGAAATTCGGTGCCACCCCTCACGCAGATCCGCGGGGTCAGGGTCCAAAAACACAGGGATTTGCCACATTTCTGAAATTCGGTGCCACCCCTCACGCAGATCCGCGGGGTCAGGGTCCAAAAACACAGGGGATTTGCCACATTTCTGAAATTCGGTGCCACCCCTCACGCACATCCATCGCAAGGCGTGGTAACCCAAACTGCGAGTACTCCCTCGGCCCTTTTATCCCAAGGTGTGGTAACCAAGCTCGTAAACCATACACGTCTTACCAATCGCCCTGTGTGGTAACCCCTCTTGTGATCAGTTGTGACTTATGTAGCTCTTCCATGGCCCATTCTCCGAGAGAGGGGGCCGGCGGCAGGGGGCGAGGCCCTTACGGATATACATGGCGGTTGGCCGGCAACGCAGGCGGTCCACGCAGGAGCCCCGCACCGCTAGCTACAGCTTGGGGCTACCAAATGGTGGTTAGGACTTTGGGGCTCATGTTTTCACACAAGAAAATTTGAAACAGTTGGGAAGTCAGTGAAAGTGGCAGTGGCCAGGGCTGGACAAACTGGCAGTGGGCGAAACACGCCTGAAACAGTGAGAATGAGGTCGCAAGGGCTGGGCAAAAATAGAAAGAAACTGGCCAGGGCTGGAAAGAGTGGAAGGGCTGGCCCAGGTCACTTCTGCCAGTTTCCATGTGGCCGAACTTTTCTTGCACACAGCCTCAGCCACCAGCGCTCCAACCACCATTTCAGAAGCTCGATCTCAGAGGCGCACCGGCGTTCTGAGAAGCTTTCTGGTCTAGCGCGCGGCGGTCGCCGTGGAGCTGGCAGCCCTGAAGGCCAACCACGGCCGCGCCGGCCCAGCTGGGCCCAGAGTCCGGCGCCGCTGGGTGGCGCCAGGCCGCCGCCGCAGACGGGCGCCGCGAGAGGGGGATGCGGCAGCAGTCGCCGCCGCCGCAGCGCCGCGGGCTCGGGCGCGGCCTGGGCCGCCAGCGGTTGCCGCGCCCCCCGAGCCCTCCCGCCCGCGGCCTCGGCGAGGGCGTTGTTTGCAGGCGACGCCTGGCAACCGCATGCGGCGGTGCAGGGCCCGGCGTGGGCCGCTTGCATGGCATGCGGGTGCTGGGCGCCGTGCCGGCGGCGGCTCGCGAGCCGGCCCCGCGGCGGCTGGGCTCCCGCGTGGCAGCCGCGGGCCGCCGTGCTGCTCCTGCTGCCTGCGGAGCCCGCTGGCGGCCGCGACGCCGAGTGGCAGCGCGGCCCTGCGGGCTCGTCTGCAAGCGCGGCCGGGCGCCCCTGGCTAAGTGGGAGGGCGCGCGCCGGGGCCGCCCCGGGGGGGCGGCGGCGCGGCCGCTGTTGTTCCCACTCTGCCTCCCGCCCCTCCTCCCCTTCTCTCTCTGTCCCCGCCTTGCCACTGGGCTCCTGCACGCTGGTAAAAAAAGTGTCTTCGGGGAAAGCTCAGAAAACGTCTCCAAGGCCGGGGGGCCTTCCGAGCCCTCCGAGAAGGCCCGCCCCTTCTCGCTCCCCCCCTCGGGCTCGCCGCCGGAATGAGGCCGCGGGCCACCGCAGCGCCGTCGCTCCTGATCAGCACCGTGTGATCTGCTCCGGCGGCGGCCATGGATGGCGGGCGCGCGGGGATCGCCAGGCGAGCGCTCGGCCCTGCGTTCGAGGGACAAGGGCGGCGGGCCTGCGACGGAAGCACGGGGGGCAGGAACCAGAGCAGGACGCCGCCTTGCACGACTTGGAGGGACGATGACGGCTGCTCTTCTTCTTGGCGCTGCTGATGCTGACAACGATGGTGCCGACGCAGTCGCTGAGCTGCCGCTGCCGTCGCCGGAGCTGGCGTCGACGACCCAGAGTCGAGGCGAGTGAGGGGGGGGGGCCAGGGCGAGAGGGAGCCGGGAGGAGCGGCACGAGGAGCAGGAGGGGAGGGGGGAAAGAGGAGGGGGGGTGAGAGGCAGGCGCGGCGGCAGCAGAGGCAGGGGGGCAGGAGCAGACGAGGAGGGGCGAGAGGAGGAGCAGCGGCAGAGGCCTGGCGGACGCGGAGCTGGACGCCGCGGAGCCGCACTCGGCCACGGCGCGGCCGCGGGCCGAGGCCGCGGCGGCGGGGCGCGACGGCGGGGGCGGCAGGCCCGCGGAGGGGGTGAGGAGAAGGAGGGGGGGGAGGGAGAGGAGGAGAGGGACGAGAGGAGGAGGAGGAGGAGGAGGAGGAGGAGGAGGAGGAGGAGGAGGAGGAGGAGGAGGAGGAGGGGCGGAGGAGGAGGAGGAGGAGGAGGGAGGAGGAGGAGGAGGAGGAGGAGGAGGAGTGAGGAGGAGGAGAGTGAGGGGGAGGGGGAGGGGGGGGGGAAAGGGAAGGGAAAGAGGAGGAGGGGCAGGGGGAGGAGGAGGAGGAGGAGGAGGAGGAGGAGGAGGAGGAGGAGGAGGAGGAGGAGGAGGAGGACCATAATAAACCACAGACCCACCGACGATGTTGAAATACACCCTCTCTCCAATATCCCTTTTTGAACCCCTACCCAAGGTCATTTCAACTGGGGGAATTGCCCCGTTCGGGGACACACGCGTGATCATCTTTAAGCGCGCCAAAGACTTCAACGCCACGAGTGAACCTGACTGGCACGTCTTGGCGATCCTGACTGAGTCGTGCCAGCGCCAGCAGCAGCAGCCCCCGCAGGCACCAGCTGCAGCGGGCGCTTGCAGTGGCAGCACCACGTCCATCAGGCCTCATTCTTGCGGCATCCGCAGTGCGAGCAAGCCTTGGCACGGGTGCTGGATGCGCCTGCAGCCGCCATGCCGCAGTCGCCGACCTGGCGCGCAGGGGACGGCGCCGCCGAGCCGTGGTGGCCGTCCAGGAGCGCCGCGGAGGAGGCGGAGGCGGACGACGACGGTTACGACGACGATGAGGACGAGGACGCGGACGAGGAAGAGGAGGAGGAGTATCAGGAGGAGGAGGAGGAGGAAGAGGATGGCGCCATCGACAGGGAAGGTGAGGGCAACGAAGTCCGCCAGCTCGACGCCCGCGTCGCCCGCGCCCGCCCCCTCACTCTTATCCGCAACTGCGAGGTGCTACGTGTATTTTTGCCAGCGATCGTGGCCGTCTCAACCAACAGTGTAGACGGCATTGAGGCGAGAGACCGGATCCTGAATCAATTGAAACAGTCTGAAGCGAAACGGCTGCCGTACAGGGCCGTCTGGGGCTCCCCGTCCCCTCTGTGGGACCCTTCTGTGATCACTTTTTGCTACACTTAGACCCCTCTAGCGAAACGCTGGCCAGGAATTGCTCCGACGGTAGGACCCCGCACGAGAATCTCCCGCGCGAATCTGGATATATAATCATCCTGCTCCTCCTTGCGAGTGCAGAGGCACTCGTCCCGTCACTTCATCGCCCTTTTCCTTCTCGCCCTGGGGGAGGCCCCCTTCCTGCCCCCTGCGCTGCCTCATGTTCCCCTTCCTGCCCATTTCCCCCATCCGCCTCCTCCCTCGCCCCTTCAGCAGGGGGATCGCGATGTGATTTTCCTTGGCGCCGTTGCTGCGGCGGCCGGCACGGGCGCGCTCTCCGGTGGCGAGATCGCGAAGCCGTTGAAGCAATCCCGTGGGCCAGGCCGTCGGGACCACCCCGCGGGCCGCTGGGGCGCGGCAGCGAGCCTTGGGGACAAACCCGCAGGTCTCGAGCTAGACACGGCCGCGCTTGGGCGGGAGGCAGCGCGAAGCCCAGCTCTGCCGCTAGAGCCTCCGCCTCACCACGGGGGCTCCCCGCTCTCGCGTCGAACTTCCTGGGCGCCATTCCCGCCAGGAAGTCGGCGGCCCGCGCTCCAGGAAATCTGGCGTGGGCGGCCGCAGAATCAGCATGTTCCGCATGCCTTTCCGCGCCATTTTCTCACAGACGAGTCTCCCGCTCGAGACCTCCGCCGCATTCAAGCTTCAAGAGGCCCGAAATGCTGACAATCACCAGATTCCGATGGCCCCTTCGGATTAATAACGTGGGTTGCGGGCCCCATAGAGAGGGGGCTCCCGCCTGAGCTGCCTCGCGACTCAATCGCAAACGACGCTCCCGCCAGAGACTTTCTCAATCTGCAAGCTTCAAAAACCAGAAGAGGCGCCAAGTACATGGTGCCAGTGACCCGCCTGGAGCAAACACACAAGCTGCGGGCCCCATGGGGACGGAACTCCCGCCTGAGACTTGCTCGCGCTTCACTTACACACGAGGCTCCCGCTCGAGACTTCCGCCGAATGCACGAACGAGGAGCCCAACAGTGGTGACAGCTACACGGTGCCACGGATACGCTCGGATAAATACCATAAGTCTGCGGGCCCCATGGGGATGGGGCTCCCGCCTGAGAATTCTTCGCACTTTACTCACAGACGAGGTTCCCGCTCGAGACTTCCGCCGTGTCAAAATGAGGAGCCCAAGAATGATGATAGTTACAAGGTTCTGATGGCAGGCTTGGATAACTAACGTGAGCCGCAGGGCCCATGCGGAGGGAGCTCCCGCCTGACATTTCCTTGACATGCAATCGCAAGCGAGGCTTTCGCTCGAGACTTCCGCTGCATTCAAGACCGAGGAGCCAACACTGACGACAGTTACACGAGTCTGATAATCCGATCGGATTAATAACATTAGCTGAGGGCCCCAAAGGGAAGGGGCTCTAGCCTGAGGACTCCACAACCGAGGCTCCCGCTCGAGACTTCCGCTATATGCAAAACAGAAGAACCCCAAACTGACGACAATTACATGGTTCCGATAGCCCACTCGGATCAATAACGTGAGCTGCTGGCTCCATAGGGAGGGGACTCTCGCCTGAGATTTCCTCGCTCTTCACTCACAGACGAGGCTCCCGCTTAAGACTTCTGCTAGATCCAAGACTGAAGAGCCCAACCGTGACGACGACTACAACATTCCGATGGCCCACTCAGACTAATACAAAGAGCTGCGGGCCCGATAGACAGGTAGCTCCAGCCTGAGACTGGCTCGCAATTCACTCGCAGACGAGGCTGCCGCCTGTATGTGTGTGTGTGTGTGCGTGTGCGACCTGTGCGAGCGACCGATGATGACGATGGTGATGGTGGAGATGATGATGATGAGGATGTTTGTTCCTCTGACGCACGCATGAGTGAGTGGGTGAGTGCGTGTGAGTGTGTGCGACGATGGCGATGACGATGCCAATGATGATGCTGATGGTGATGATGATGATGCTGATGGTGATGATGAGGCTGATGATGGTGGTGACGACTGGTATACATGATGGCAGTGTGATGGTGATGACGACGATGACGATACAGATGCTGATGGCGATGATAATGCTGATGATGATGATGATGATGATGATGATGATGATGATGATGATGATGATGATGATGCCGATGCTGATGCTGATGCTGACGATGATGATGAGGACGACCATTGATGGCAATAGTGAGAAAGGGAGGGCGGAGAGGAGATCCTGCGCGGGGGGGGGGGCGGGTTGCTGGGAAAGCAAGAGCCCCACCTTGGACGTGGGAAACAAGCACTGGCGTTCAACCGAACGCTTGAAACATAGGGCTGTGGACGAGGAGGAAGAAGGGACAGGGTGGCGGTGTGCCTTTGGCCGGAGGGGGAGGGCAAGGGGGAGGAGACGTAGGACGAGGGAGAGAGAGAGAGAGAGAGTAGGACGAGCAAGAGGAGATGGAGAGGGACGAGCAGGAGAAGGATACGGAGAAAGAAGAAGGAGGAGGAGGACGAGGAGGAGGAAAAGGAGGAGAAAGATAATAGACAAAATGAGGAGGTGAAGGGAGACGGAAAGGAGGAGGACCAAGAGGGGATGAGGATGTGTGGGAGGAGAAGAATATTGCGGAGAACATCACATGGCAGTTTGCAGCCTTTTTGCATCAACAACGCTGGCCAGTCGAGTCCATTACTCCTTCTCCTCCTCCACCTCCTTCATACAATCCTCGTCTACCTCAACTTCCACCTTCGCTTCGTCGCCGTTTCCTCACCCTCACCTCTCCCCTCCTCCTTCGCCTGCCCTCCCTCCGTGATCCTCGCCGAAGCTGACTTGATAAGGACTCCTTATCTGCATGTCCTGCCAGACAGCCTGGACGGGGCATGCAGTGGGACACGGCCCATAGGCATCTTCAAACCAGGCGACGCCTTCACGTGCTGGCGCAATGCGAAACCTCTGCGCTTCCCACCACAGCCATCATGCTGTGGGCCCTCGCTTTGAACAGGGCACTGCGGATCCCTCGTCCTACGTGTCTTCATCCTTCCTGCGCGTCTCATGTTTTCCTCACCGCCTCCCTCGTCGCGTCCGTCCTTCTCTCTAGTGCTGCCGAGCGTGCGCTGCCGCTCGCCCTCCCCTGGGTGCCGCTGGGCTGTGCCACCGCCGCCGATCTCCTGGGCCCCCCTGGGGGGTCCAGCGGAGTGGCGTCTTGCGCAGATCTACAAATGGGGACCTCGCCTTCCCTGGGTGCTGGCCTGATGATGATGAGGAGGCGGAAGCGAAGGCGGAGGAGGAGGAGGACACGGAGGAGGAGGAGGAGGGGGATGATGAGGAGGAGGAGGGGGAGGAGGGGGAATAGGAGGAGAAGGCGAAGGAGGAGGAGGACGAGGATCGGGCAGGACGATGAGGATGCTGGAGGATGATACGGAGGAGGAGGATGAGGAGGACGGAGGATGCGGAGAAGAACGAAGAGGGGGATGAGGATGAGGATGAGGATGAGGATGAGGATGAGATGGGAGAGGGGAGGGGGGAAAGGACAATGAGGAGGAGGAG